GACTGGGCCGACACAGAATCACAGTCTGATCTCATCTAGGGTGTGCATGGAATTACAGAAACTGTCTACTATAACAATAGGTAGCTCGCAATCGCACAGTTTAGAATAACACGCTTGCCCGACAGTTCGATAGTAAAGGTCTCGAATCCATATTCTCTTTAGGGTTGGTTGTTGGATCAGCCTTGACTGGGTAGTATGAAATGTTGTGGCGTCGGCAGAAATGGAGTCGGCATTTATGGCGTGGCTTGTTAAACACTGTTTCAATGGACAGTAACGGTAACCGGGGTAATATTGAATCTATCACCCATATAGCTACTGGCTAATAAACACTTGGAGCTAGTACTATATATATTATTTACCTTTCACTGCACAGAGGGTTAAGGTTTGAACAACGGATCAACATCATGGCACCCGGGTAGTAACCCGTAAGTGCTCTATTCTTCTTCTAACTCATGTCCGAGTCTGAAGAAGCTCAGCACAGTGCACGGGCTCTGTAGCAACTGCGAGGATCCTGAAATACATTAGGTAGACTTTTAACTCCAAATTTAACCTGGGCAGCGCCGTTAGGCTACTCTTTTCGATATCCAACTGCCAAGGGTTTTTTACGTGCGCAACAATGCACACGGACGTCCGATCTCCCTAACCAGAGACCAGAATGAAATACTAGAAGTCCAAGTCCACGTTAAATAAATCCCAGCCCTTACCGGGAATTGAACCCGGAATCTCTAGCACTCGAGGTTCCGGTCAAAATGGACGTCAGGCAGCGGCACTGTTCGAAAAAGAGGCAATTTAATTTGCTTCTGCCGGACGGTGACCGATGCATTTTTGTTCCATTTGAAGACTGGATATAGTTTCGTCGCCCAGCTTCTGAGTTGAATGCATGGCCTTACCCTGTGAGCTGTGGATTGCAATTGGAATGTTTTTTTTTTCGACTGTGACCAACGTGTTGGTGTGAATTGTAGATTCAGAAAATGGCGCGATGCCTGTCGTGCAGTGTTGTGGTGCCCGTATGTGATTAAAATTGATCGCGTGGGCAACTGCTGATCTGTTGGCGACTTCTGCGACCATCAATGATGAACTGCAATTCTAATACTGTGAAAAACATTCTGTGTGTTTTCTGTTGGCACAGGAGCGGAGCAAAGATGGGGTGACCCGTTTGCTATGAAGCTGAAACTAAGACTACCAGACTACCAGACTCGAGGTCGACACCATGCCTCGAGACCACGCAGCCTCCTCACTGCAGAGAAATGGGTCCTTTAATGGGCCCTGCATAGAAATCGGTGCCACCTTTCCTTTTGAGCAAACAAGTCGTGGTGAACGAGAGAGAGAGAGAGATCATGCTGCATGTCTAACACCTGGTAAAGCCTAGTTTTTGTGTGCTATGGAAATGACTAATATCCTTCTTGGCAATATGCAAGCAGCGATGATTTTACTGACTATTGCTTGACTAATAATGTGTGTATCACCCCCCCCCCCTTTTTTTTCCCCAAATATATATAGTAATTTTAACACGCGTGGAGATTGTTTGCATTTGAATTCCCATGCGCAACTATGCATGGTGATTGTTCTGATAGCTTATCCCACGTACAATAAAAAATATGTTATGTAACTCACTAGAAGCTAATGCCGGAGATGACCACATGGGAGTGAAATGTCTGAAACGCGTGGAATTTGAAGTTTTCAAAAGTACACACTTAACGGTGAGCTTGCGGACTGTTTGCTTTAAAGCGGTGTCTTTTTTTTTTTTTTTTTTTAAATACTAAAGGTGATTCTCATCCGCATGGTGGCACTTAGTGTCACCGGGTGTTTATCGCTTGTGTGATGTCCTAGTGAGGTACAAATACGTACCTACAGGGAAACAAGCGAGAATGCAATATCGAGGCATCTCTCTTTTTAAGATAATAGAAACTAGGCTGCGACACGTGATAGAACCACAGATGTGTTTCATAAGAAACCGAAGCTGCACAGACGCAATCTTCACACTTAAACAGCTAATAAAAAAGAACATCGAACATGATCAGAACTTATTTGTAGCATTTGTAGACCAGGAGAAAACTTTAGTCATGGTCATGAATTTACAACACCATCTCACACCCATGAATGACGAATATAAATAAAATAACATGAAAATCAACATCGAAAAGACAGATGAATGTCAATGGGAAGAGAGAAGCAGAATTTAAATTTAGCATTAGAGCATACAGATATTGAACAGCATTTAAGTTTAAATGCCTTAGAACAACATTCAGTGAAGATGGTAAACTGGACGAAGAAATTAACATTCGTTACAGTAAAGCACGCTAACTATTGGGACAGCAAGACTCCCTCTTACAGCATAAGGCAATCCCAATCAGCAGCGCCCCCCCCCCACCCCCACCCCCGAATAAAATTCATACAAAGCATGTTCATATATTCATTCCCACTCTATGCTATCAGTGCCAGACGTGCTCACTCACAGAAAAACATAACAGAAAATTAGTAGCCATGGAATTGAGGTGTCTGAGAAAGACTGTAGGAGTGAACAAAAAAGATAAAATCAGGAATGAAGTCAAACGAGATACAGTTGTCATAGAACCAATTCTAAATTACAAAGACAGCAAATCAGCTGGTTTGCTCACTTAAAGAGAATGCCTTCTGATGCTTTACCATACAAAGCATATACGGAAGGAGGAGAAGGACTGAGAGCAAGAGGTAGACCAAGAACAAGATGGGAAAACATCAGAGAAACTCAACAGCACCACGATGTGTCTATGGTCGATGCAGCCAGAAGAGCAAGAAGCTGGACAATATCTCTTCCTCGACACCCGAAGGGTAAAAGAGGATGTAAAAAAGAAAGAAGACACTGAAAGGGTACTGGGTTATAGACTGTTAAAGTTGAGCACCACTTCTGAAACGGACTATAATCACAATATTTAGTAATGTCATCATCATCATGTAGCACGTCCTTTGCAGAACGTCGCTCTCATCACGGTCTACCCGAAAGAAACTCGGTCTCTCCCCAGCTCTCCTCATGTACTTTCATACTCAAGGGGTCACTTATATCCTGTGCCCATCTTCGTGTTGGTCGGCCCCTGCCCCTTTTTCTTGTACCACGCCTTCTGCTATAATTTTTTTCCAATCCGTCGTGGCGCTTGAAATGACCAAAATATTTCAGCTTCAGAGACAGTATGCTGTTTATTAGCCAGTCTTCCTTGATGTTCAGATCTTTCAAGATGTCAGTATCACTTTTCTTCTTTTTCCAAGATATTTTGAGAATCTTTCTATTGCATTTCAGCTTAAAAGCTCCTATTCTCTTTCTTAAGGACTGAGAGATAGTCCACGACTCACATCCGTATGTTGCTACGGAGAAGATGTAAGCTCTCAAAATTCTAATTTTGATCTCCTTGCTGGTACTTAACCATAAAACGGGAAACTACCACATGACTATCCCAAAAAACTCATCATGGAAACCAAAAATGAAACTCAAAGATCTGATGGTGATTCTCCCAGGCAAGGCAGATTTAGTAATGTAAGTTAGGTAAATCACAAAGTCTTGACACACCCAATTGTTTTTTTTTTTTTTTTTTCTGTTTGAACAGCCAAACAGTCGGTTTCGCGGAAGATGCTATTTAAATTCTGACCAGATTGTTGCTACCGAAAGCCGTTAATTCAAAAATACATATCGTGAGTAAGTGCTGCTTGTGGAAGTTTCCACTCAGGTCGTCGTTCCACTCAGGTCGTCCTTCCACTCAGGTCGTCCTTCCACTCAGGTCGTCCTTCCACTCAGGTCGTCCTTCCACTCAGGTCGTCCTTCCACTCAGGTCGTCCTTCCACTCAGGTCGTCCTTCCACTCAGGTCGTCCTTCCACTCTGGTCGTCCTTCCACTCAGGTCATCCTTCCACTCAGGTCGTCCTTCCACTCAGGTCATCCTTCCAACAAAGGTCATCCTTCCACTCAGGTCGTCCTTCCACTCAGGTCATCCTTCCACTCAGGTCATCCTTCCACTCAGGTCGTCCTTCCACTCAGGTCATCCTTCCACTCAGGTCGTCATTCCACTCAGGTCGTCATTCCACTCAGGTCGTCCATCCACTCAGGTCGTCCTTCCACTCAGGTCATCCTTCCACTCAGGTCATCCTTCCACTCAGGTCGTCCTTCCACTCAGGTCATCCTTCCACTCAGGTCGTCATTCCACTCAGGTCGTCATTCCACTCAGGTCGTCATTCCACTCAGGTCGTCATTCCACTCAGGTCGTCCTTCCACTCAGGTAGTCCTTCCACTCAGGGTCCAAGTACGAGAATATTAACCAAAACTAAAGAATAACGCAAAGCCTTTCAACAAAGTTTACGGAGGGGTCAACATTTTGAAAATGGAGATCGTCAGGTGCCAAAAACACATAACGATCATTACCACAACTAGCAATGATCAGCGGACCGCTTGCTGGATTTGGCCCCGCGGGCCCGCCAGTTGAATTAGCCTTGATCAATAACACATTCAGTAATGAGAAGGATGAATTAAGCAACCACTGTGATATTTATCTGAAACGCTATTATATGAGAAAAGTAAGAACTCTCTCTCTCTCTCTCTCTCTCTCTCTCTCTCTCTCTCTCTCTCTCTCTCTCTCTCTCTCTCTCTCTCTCTCTCTCTCTCTCTCTCTCTCTCTCTCTCTCTCTCTCGCTCTCTCTCTCTCTACCGATGTTTTTTTGTTCAATTCGAAGCTTCCTCGCTGGACCTGGGGCTGCTACCGCCCCCTGGATCGTTACAGCCCCCCCCCCCACCCCGAGGGGAGGCGGTAACTCCCGCTTTGAGAAACATTGCTCTAGAACAAGATCAAAGTTCAAAAGGAAACGAAAAATCTGAACTTTTCAACGGAGTTTCTGGTGAACGATAAGAGAAAGAAGAAGACCTACTAACTGCAAAATTTAATGTTATTTCTCACTGCAGCATCGCTCGGCCACTTCCCACCAGGACTGCATTCAAAACTTGACGATGACGTATCTGCCAACTTCTCACCTCGGTTTGAGTCCAGCGAACAGAGGCTGATGCAGGATCTGCTGAGTGGCTATGACAACAGTGTCCGGCCAGTCTACGACGCCTTGGAAGCTGTTGATGTCCAGCTGGGTCTGACCCTGACTCAGATTCTAGACATTGTGAGTCGGTTTGTGTTGTCTTCTGTGTTATTTATGGCTGCCTACGATGAGAAGGCTAAGGGTGAGGTGTGAACAACGGAGCACCATCATGGCACACGGGTAGTAATCCATAAGTGGTTCGTTATTTCTTTTACCTCAAGTCTGAGTCCACAGATGCTAGGCATAGTGCACAGGCTGTGTAGCACCGGCGAGGATCCTGAAATACTTTGAGTAGATTTTTAACTCCAAATTTTTGCCCGGGCAGCGCCGTTAGGTTACTTGTTTCGATTTCCAACTCCCAAGGAATTTTTTACGTGCGCATCAATGCTCACGGGCGTCCGATCTCACTACTCAGAGACCAGGGGGATTACTAGTCCAAGTCCCTATGATGAGGTGTGTAAAGCAAACCAAGTAGTGGAACTGCTAGCCTTTTTTTTTTCCTTTCCAGCATAAGAAAACTCCGACCAGAACAAAGACGCACATCATACAAAGTATAGTACTTCCTCGGAGTCGCCGTGGTGCAGTTGCCTACGGATCGGAAGGTTGTGTGTTCGGGTGCTGGCGGAGCCTGCATTTTTTTCTTTAAAAATTATCTTGGCTTCCAGGTCGACTCAGCCTTGAGTGGGTACCAGGTCAGTCTTAGGAAGTAAAGGCGGCCGGCGTGACGTTGAACACATCACCCACTAAATGGCGATTGGTCTAAAAATTTGGTGTAAAGGCTTGGAGAATGGTCAACTACTTGCTTTAAACCCAATTTTATTTAAACGAGAGGAAATCAGAAATATATTCGTGAAGGAAAATAGCGGCAAAGAACCAATTCTAAATTATATACAAAGACAGCAAATCAAACGGTTTGTCCGCTTAGAGAAAATGCTTCGTGACGCCATTCCATATAAGGTATACACCAAAAATAGGAGACAGATCCAGAGCACAAGGCAGACCAAGAACACAATGGAATGATAACATCAGAGAAACTCCACGATAGCTGGATATGTCCGTGGTAAAGGCGGCCAGAAGAGCACCAAGCAGAACCTTATCTCTCTAGACACCTGAAGTTGTAAAAGAGGAAGTAAAGAAGAGGAAGAAGAGTAGAAAACAAAACACATGTAATCATAATGAACATGTAAGAACTAGACTGAAATAAGCTGTGTTTAGATATGTTTTTACAAGTGACTAGGAAAAACACATGTAATCATAATGAACATGTAAGAAGTATCTAAAATAAACGTGATCAGTAGGCCGGAATAAAATCTTTCAAGTATCTACAGGTGAACAAGAATTCTGACATGTAAGCCTACCAGACAGCAACCCAGTTAATTTGCGATGGAAGTAAGAGAGAGCAAGTCATATCAAAGGGATAATAATATGCAGCGAGAGATGTAGACGCTGCTGTTACAATCTCATACATGGGGGTCGCGGTGACTAGACTTCCCTGCTGGACCACAGACTTGCGTTTGAATCCGCACGATTTGGAGGGAAAAAATACCTTGGATCTAGGGTATACTCAGCCTCAAACGGGTACCCGGAATATACTACATTTTTGGGAAGTAAAGGTTGCTCTATGTGCGGAGTGGTCCATAAAAACGTATCTAGCATCATTTGCGCCCATTGTGCTACTGGTGTTAAAAAGATTCTTCACAACTTGACTGCCTTCCACCTGGTACGAAGCAAACGCCACTTCATAGAAGAATTATTCTACTCCAACTACGACTGTGTGTAAATGGTAATGAGGATGATAATAATGGTAAAGATGATTACGAAGACAGACAAAGAATGAAATGGTTCAGCCATCTAGTGAGAATGCTGCAAGACCAAACTGCATATGAGACCTTTTACAGCATAACATCTGGGAGGAAGCCGAGAGGAAGACTAAGAAAGATATGGATAAATTACTTAGCTGAAACCTTAAAAAAAGATGAACATGCCACCCGAAAAGCAAGACAACAACAGAAATCAACAACGCTGGGCTACGACCTCGTATCAGTGAAGCCATACACAAATGTCGATGATGTTGAGAAGGTGAAAAAAAATTCCCCTCTCATGCCTTTAGATGCATGAGACACATGGGAACAGCACGACAAAAGAAGAAGAGAATGCCGTAGATGATGATGTTGATGATGTTACGAATGTAATAAACGGAAGATCCCTTTTCACACCTTTAGGCGCATCGGGCACATGGGAAGAGCACCCATATTTTTACAGACTAATCGGCACTAGGTGGGTAATGTGGTCAGCATTACGTCGGCCGTCTTTACTTTCACATGACATACATCCTGATACCCATTTTAGGCTGGGTCGACCTGCGACGTCCAATACAATGATAAAAATCCACGCAGCCAGCGTCAGCATTACGTCGGCCGTCTTTAGTTCCACAGGACATACATCCTGATACCCATTTTAGGCTGGGTCGACCTGCGACGTCCAATTCATTCATTCAGTAGCATGTCCCTCGCGGAACCTCGCTGCCATAACAACCCTCCGGAAAACCTTCCTATCCTGAGCAAGATGTCCTGCGCCTGATACACCCATCTGGAGATCATCTGCCACATCCTGCACCCATCTTCTCCTTGGCCTTCCTCTTCCTCTCTTCCCAGGCATATACCCCTCCATTATTGTTCTGTCTAGACTTCCATGACGTTTCAAGTGACCAAAATATTTCAATTTTCTTTGTTTTATTGTCTTTACTAGCCAACCCTCTTCAATATTCAGCTCTTGAAGTATGGATGCATTTGTTCTTTTCTTTACCCAAGATATTCTTAGAACCTGTCTGTAACATTTATTTTCAAATGCATTTATGCGCTGTTCCGCTTGTTTAGTAAGTGTCCAAGTCTCACAGGCGTATGTTGCAATGGGAAAGATGCATGCTCTTAAAAATCTGACCTTTGTAATTCTATCTGTACAATTCCATAATTTATTCAGTTGTTTTAGTCTTTGAAGAGCAATTGATAGTCGCCGTTTAATTTCTTTCATTGTGTCACCATTGTTGGTAACCAGTGACCCAAGATATTCGAAATTTTCCACCACTTCCAATCTTTCCTCATTAACATATATTTCCTTCTCCATGGCAGTTTTGTTTGTATGCATTATCTTTGTTTTTGCTGTGTTAAGAAATAAGTTATGATTTTCACTATTTTCACTATTTCACGTCCAATACAATGATAAAAATCCACGCAGCCAGCAGTGGGTTTCGATTGCGGTCTGTTGGAGTTACAACGAATGAGTGCGGAATAATTCGATTAATCTATTATTCTGTTGCTGTTGCGGGTGTCCATTGTAACTACAGACATTTAACTTGACTGAAACTAATAGACATTTAAATCTTCCCCAGGACGAGAAAAACCAAGTTCTGACAACAAATGTCTGGTTGGAGGCCGTGAGTATTGTATAAGCACACAATTTTCCTTCATATTACACAAAGTGTCAAGTAATTAGTATTCTGTCTGTCTGTCTGTCTGTCTGTCTGTCTGTCTGTCTGTCTGTCTGTCTGTCTGTCTGTCTGTCTGTCTGTCTGTCTGTCTGTCTGTCTGTCTGTCTGTCTGTCTGTCTGTCTGTCTGTCTGTCTGTCTGTCTGTCTGTCTGTCTGTCTGTCTGTCTGTCTGTCTGTCTGTCTGTCTGTCTGTCTGTCTGTCTGTCTGTCTGTCTGTCTGTCTGTCTGTCTGTCTGTCTGTCTGTCTGTCTGTCTGTCTGTGTGTCTGTCTGTCTGTAAAGTCATCTGAGTATTTGTCCCTTTTTCTTGCTCTAGTTTTTATATATCAAGCTCGTCAGGCATCTTATGTTTTAGAGTTAATTAGTCTCTTTAAAAAAAGTTTTCACACATTGAGACCTACTAGACCTGCGATTATAGACTCACATTTTAAAATTTAAGCATTAATCTACCCGTGTGGGTTCTGAGATCCTATTATGGGGAAGACAAGAATAGACCCACTGCCTGCCTAAGAAACATGTTGTAAGAGTAAATTAATTATGGGTTTCCGTCATAGTCGGAGGCAATGAACCTACAGTCTGCACACAAATAATCCATAGCTGGAAAACGTATGTGCTCGCAAAGCTCAAGTTCTAGAATAAGAATAAAGTCCAGAAGTGGACGAACAACCAGAACTTTTCGCCGAAGATTGCAGACAGTAAACGCAAAGAAGAAAAACGCCATAAATCCCTGAGTGCTGTAATTTATAACAATAACATGGTGATAATCGTCCCAGAAAATGTTCTCCGACCCAGATAAGGCCAGTCTATTATAAAAATACCCCACCCCACCCAACATTCCTCCTCCCCCAACCTCCCCAAATAGGCTTAAACGCGTGGCCACCGATCCAACAGCTAAGCGTCCTAGTTATCTCACAACCGTGCCTCTGCCGGAAGTCTCCCCTACAGACAAGTGTCTGCCCTGAATATCTCACAGACTAGTTCTTGTTCAGAATGTTCCACAGACAGACTAGTATCCACCCTGCATATCCCACAGACAGACTAGTATCCACCCAGCATATCCCACAGACTAGCCATTGCCTGGGATGGCCGGTCAGGTTGTCCCACAGACAGACTAGTGTCCACCCAGTATGTCCCACAGACAGACTAGTATCCACCCAGTATGTCCCACAGACAGACTTGTGTCCACCCAGAATGTCCCACAGTCAGACTAGTGTCCACCCAGCATGTCCCACAGCCAGACTAGTGTCCACCCAGAATGTCCCACAGACATATTAGTGTCCACCCAGCATGTCCCACAGACTGGACATTGCTCGGGATGGCCCCAATATTTTTTCCTGTTCAGAATTTGCCGACCCAAATGTCTTAAGTTTGAACCAGTACCATGACAGATATTTTACAATTACAGGGGTACAAGGAGACGTCATTGGAAAGTAGAGGCGGCCGGCATGATGTTGACCACATAACCAAATAAGTGCCGATTGACCTATAACAACATGGGTCTGGCATCATCACCTGCACCGGCGTCCGTGGCTTAGGCGTTGCGAGTCCGACTCGTAATCCAGCTTACCGCGATCGAAACCCACTGCTGGCTGTGTGGATTGTTATCATGGTATGGGGCGTCGCAGGTCGACCCAGCTTAAAATGGGTACCAGGACGGGCTGCCCTGTGGAAGTAAAGACAGCTGGCGTAATGCTGACCACATTACCCACCAGTGCTGATGGTCTGTAAAGATATGGGCGCTTTTCCCATTTCCCGATACACCTAAAGGCGTGGGAAGGGTTTTTTACTTTACTGTACTTATCATCACCTGCATACTCCATTGGCGTGAATAAGGGTTCTTCCTTTCACTCCTTTTAGTGTGTGTCTGCAGAAAGATTTCCAAGTCCTCTAATCATGTCACCCCACTGCCCAATACCCCCAGCAGACTTCTTCTACTCGGAGTTAAGTCTAAATCTCAGTGTCTGTTCATGTAAGTCTGGACATCCTCTTGTCCCCACTCGCTGAGCGTTGCGGTGTTTGCGAATACTTCAACTCGAGTTCATTCCTATCGATTATGTGAAGAGATTATACTTCATGTTAAGTGCAGATTTACCTTTTACAGGGCGTGAGAGATTTCCCATGTTTCCCCCAGTATTGTTCTGTCTCCTTCCATTTTTGCACCCCCCCCCCCCCCCCCCCCACCCCTCCCTCTTTTTCCGCAGAGGCTTAAAGATTTGAGGAATATTTTTAATGTTGTAAATGTAAAAAAAAAAAAAAAATCATAAAGTAAGGTGCATATCTGAAACAGGAAGTCAATCTTGACGACTTTTCCATGGCTTTTTTTTTTTTTATACACGTTTTCTTCTTCATTTTTTCTTTCCTAATAATAATGATATTGTACTGGCATTTGTTTAAATAATAGATAACAGATAATAGGTGCGGGGAAATGGGAAGTAAAACATTTAAAAAATTGTTCTTTTCAAAATAAATCGTTATATTATAAAGTAAGGCTCATATCTTTCACAAGCCTTCATCACAAACCAACCCTCTGGATTTACTGAGCATCAGGGTCATTTTCTGGGCAAAAATATGCATTTTAATTGTATCGCTGATTTTTGGTTTGTAAATTATAATTCTTGAAGTTGTAAGTAAAGTAAAGCAACGGACCTTTTCTACAGTAGTGACGTATCAGGCACAATACTCTATGCTAAAATTGTATAAAACACTGACCGCCTTTACTTTTTATGATATTACCTGATACGCTCTTTCGGCTATGTCGACCTCGGAGCCAATGTCAATGTCAAAACAACATTCCCCCCTGAAAGAATTCGAACCCAAAACCAACTGGCGTGCAGACGAGCGTCTAGCTACTACGCTAGGACCGATCCGTAAAAATATGTAGAGATTTGATTAAAACATGACAGCGACGATCGGGTCACCCCTTGGCTGGGCGGTAGATGACTTCGTCTGTTTTGATTATTCTCATCAACACTGTAACAGTTGTTTTCAGAGCTACTTGGTGGCGAGCAGTGTTGAGGAGCCATTTTATGTATCGCATATAACCTAGTCACAATTATAACCTATTTCCCCCCCCCCCCCCCCCGTCCCCTTTTTCGGGAATGCTGATTAAAAGTGGCAATTTTTTTTTTTCAGCAATGCAAGCCAATGATTAAACGCGATGTTAGAGTACCTCTAGTATGCTTTTACTGTTTGGATGTAGCATCTTCGCAAATGAAAATACCCCCGAGCATACTTGCTACTTGAGCCCCAGCTTCGGCAAATTTGTAAGAAGAGCAAGCGGCCCCAACATGGTTTATGTCTCTTGAGACACATGTACCACTCATCCGAGACAATTAGTTCTTCTCCTTCTTAGGTTGTCCCCGGCTGTAAACTCCGATGGAAAGTTTGCCCACTCCTGTTCTTTGGGCTTGATCTAGAACTTCTGTTCTGCGTGCACGTCAGTTTTACAGATCTTGTTCATACATTTGTAGACTGTTGGGGTTCCTTGCCTCTCAGACAGATGCACTCCGACTTTGAACAAAAGTCCCTAAGCCGTAAAAGAGGAAGGGAAAATGAAGTGAAGAAGAAAACATGTTCCAGTTTCCATCTTTTCATAACATGGCCAAAAATGATGACCGTCTCTTTCTGATGTTTGTGTTATGTTGTTTTTCTGCCCCTCGCTTCTTTCACTACACATGGGTTACCCTTTTTGGCTGTAGTTGTGGCGATATCGCATATTTACTCAATAAAACACGACTTTTAACTGTACATAAACCAACACACAGAACAAAACTCTGATATATCTATATCTCATTGTGCATATTAACGAGAACAGGGACCAATCAACTAAACGGTGACTCTACAATAAAGATAAGATTGATCGTTGGGGTCTGAACGTTCGTTTTCTGAAGACATTGAAATGGGTTTATACTTGACTTAAACATTGTAGATCAACAGGAACGGAGCGTGTATGTGGGTAGCTCGATTGCAGTGAAGTTGAAACCTCGACTAAGACTAAATCAACGAAATGTGTTTTTCTCTTATAAAAAAAATACTCCAAGAACTGACTTTTGAAGAATGGTGGGTTTTAAAGACGATAGATGACACACACAAAAGGGAAACATTTTAGTTACTTGAAACGTCACGAAAGTTTAGAGAGAACAATAATGGAGGGGTATATGCCTGGGAAGAGAGGAAGACGGCCAAAGAGAAGATGTGTGCAGGATGTGGTGGATGATCTCCAGATGGGTGTATCGGACGCGGGAAACCCTGCTTGTGATCGAGAAGTTTCCTGCTTATGGGAGCAGGTTCTGCAAAGGAAATGCTACTGACTGACTTATAAAAACCATACCGGAGAGCGAGATACCGGTGTGTAGTGACTAGACGCTCGCCTGCGAATTCGAAGGTCGTGGGTACGGTTCCGAACCGAGCCAGAATTTTTCCCCCCTCAAAAAGTATCTTGTCTTCCAGATCGACGCAGCCTTAAATGGGTACCAGGAACAGTCCTGGGAAGTAAAGGCGGTCGATGTGATACTGACCACATCCCCTACCGAGGGGAGGGGGTCTAATAAATTGGTTTATAAAATATAAATCTAGCCCCATGTGCCCTATATGGCCAATACCCCTGAAGGGCGTGGCAAATGGTTCTTTTAATTTGGGATGTTTCCTTCAAAGTCGTACTATATCTGCCAGAGGAACCAGCAGCCTGCACATAAATAAGCTAGATCTCTAAAGTGGATGTATATGCAAAACTGAAAAAAGTTCTAGAACAAGACTTAAGCCCAGAAGTGGACGAACAACCGGAACTTTCCGGTGCATTTTACAGCCGACGAAGGCGAAGAAATTGAGATCAAGATCCTTTATTGTCGCTATGGTGATCGATTATTCTTTGCTCCCAAAAAAAATCGTCACGTTCAAGCAGCATTCTTGAAGGGGAGCTTTAGGTTATAATTGTGACTAGGCTATGTG